GAGTGACTATCCAGACAAACACTAATGACATATTGTCATTAATATTAAGCTGAACATTGTATTTATATATAATATATATATGTATATATATGTAATTCATCTCATTTCAATCGTTGTCTTTTACGAGGAATCACGCGACCGTATTTTTCCCCCTGTTCCCTCACTAAAGCGGCGTGTTTTACTGCACCGCGATGTCGTTTCGAAGTTGCATGTGCTTTCATCTGATTTCCCCCGCAAACAAAGATTTCACAGAGCTCACACCACTCTTGTTTCACCGCTGATGGTTTATCTTTAGTTTCAGTTAACGGCAATGTTACTCCACCTATCATTTGTGAATCTTTCTTCAACAGAAACTCTGTTGCATTTTGAACCGTTTCAATAAATTCTGACAACATTTTCGATGCGTCAATAGTTATGAAATTCCTCGTTCCTTGAAGCGAGGTAAAAACAAAACGAAGACGACCAAGAAAACGGTTCTTGATCCATTGATCTTGTTGTCGAGCATACCGTTTGGTATTGCTCTTCAAAAGAGCAAGAGAATTTTTCAATTCACATTCGCCCTTTACCCGCATTTGACCGTCGATTTCAGCAAACGCTGTAATAAACTCCTTAAAACCAATTGCCCTTGCTAAACCAATGTCAAAAACATCATTTTTTCGTCTTTGTGCAAACTCAACAAATTCCTCCACAATACCCTGTTGCACCATTTTATCGACTCGCTCATCTAATTTGGTTTTCAATTTTTCATACGGAACCTGTATCCATAGTACAAAGCATTCCGTTGGGCAAAAGCGAAAGCAGGGATCTGGCCTAGTGGCGTAAATTTCCGAGGGCAAACGATTTGTTTTTTTATAAATCTCAAGAAGACGGGAAATACGCCTCGTATCATTCGGATGATAGCGAATAGCTACAGCAGGATCCACTCGATTCAGCTCTTGCCAGAGACTTTTACCCTCGTAGTTTTCTAGAGAGGAAGAAAAATTAAACTTTTTCTCCTCATACACTGAGTCCTTATCATCTTCCAATGTCAAAGTATTATCGAATAAAAGTGCCTGCGCATAGTAGCACGTACCTCCGCATACAACAATAGCAGCAGAAGCGTGTTCTCGAAAAAAAGTCCTAATGAACCTCACCGCATCGCGCACGTACGAGTGAATATTATACACCTCATTTTCCTCCGAACTCTGCATCGACTCATATTCCTCTTTGTCAGATCCTTTGTAAGGTATAGTGGGGTCTCGAATTTTCACTCCGCCGGGGGAAAGGAAACCAATGAAGCAATGATAAATATCCTCCATTTCAGACGAAGAAACCTTATTCGTCGCAATTGGAAGATCAGCGTAAAACTGCATAACATCGCAGTTCACAATTGCAACATGTCTAACACCACATCGGTTTTGAAGCGCCTTTGCAACATTCACAGCCGCCAATGACTTTCCACTTCCCGTCGCCCCCAAAACGAAAAAAATGGGCTCGCCACACTGTCCTCCCTCCGTAGCCATGTTGCTCCAGAAGCTCCCAAAAGGAAAAAAAGGCAAAGCAAGGCAAAGTAAAAACGCACGCCAAATACACAACACACACACACCAGAAAGTCCCGAAAGCACAGAGAAAAAAAAACGCGTATCGAACCCGAAGATCCAGAGTTGCCTGCACGGACACCTACCCCGAGGAAAACAAGCACATACAAATAGATAAACTAATCCACCGACACCAAACACGGCGTAAACGCGGAAGACGGAACAGCGCCAGCGCCCCCCGCAATCCCACAGGCCACGACTGACCGCCCCGCGGGCCCCACATCATCGGGAGCGGCCGCGCGCCACCAACACCCCCCCCCCCCCCCCACGGGACACGACGCCGACAAAGATCCCCCCGCCTCTACCTGCCGCGACTTGTTGGGGCGGAGCGCTGCGCCTGGAAGTCTGGGGGCGCGTGTTGCCGCGCCACGCGGCCACGGAGCGGCGGCGCGGAGGGGAGTTCCGGCTCCTGTTTGCGGTGGCCGCGGTGGAATGCGGCGGGACTCCCTCAGACGAGGCGTTTCGTGGTATGCAAGACGCCGTGCGAGGAAAATGCTTTCTTTTGCGTGAGGCGCAGCTGCTTCCCCTCTCAAGCAAGCAGCTTTGGTTTGCAGGGGTTTTTGGACGCCGCGGGAGTGCCCATTCCCGTTGAGTTGACGGGGCGTCCATTCTCGTCCGCGATAGGCCGCGGGGAAGGCGAGAACGGCCCTCGCCACAGGCGTAGAGCTGTCGCGTGCGGCCGCCCTCCCAGGGGCAGAAATGAAGCGGACGGTTGCACAGGCATATATCCTCCCCTCCTGCCGCGGTGCCGAACATCGCTGCCGTGCATTTGGGTAAGCTGCTCGGCGCCGATGGGCCGGAGCCCAGCGGTGCAGACGCAGACACGCACAAACAGCGGCTCGGGACCGCGATGCCCCGCCTTGTTGCCGTGGGGAATTTGTTGCGCGTTTGGAGTATCGCGCAGCTGTCCAACGCGGGGCGAGCGCACAAGCTGCAGCGGCCGACGCGGCGCCTCGGTGCCCGGCGTCGCCGTCAGTGGGGAAGCTGTCGGTCCCCAATTGGGCGGCAAGAGCCCTCGCCAGAGAGTGACCACTACGGCAGCACATTGGATGCTTTGGTTTGGTGGGAGGGGAGGCGAATGGCTCGTAGAGACACCGAGTTCCTTTCAGAATTTGCTCACTTGAAGGAGGACGAAATGCGGGTGATATCGCCCTGTGGCCGATCAGCTCCACAGAATCCCACTATACATGAGCAACGCAGCCAGCGCAGAAAAACGAATTGCGCCGGGCGGACGGCAGGCGACCAACGCGGGGTAGTCCTGTTACGAAAGCGCCCGCAGTAGCCATTTTGCATCCCCAAGCGGCAGAATTTGGCAGCGGCTCAAACTTCGACATGGAGATCCCCATGCGCGCCGCCGCCAAAAGCCGCTGGCACCCACAGTCTTCTCCAAACTCGACGCCGCAGACGACAATAGATGGCTTGCAGCACGCCGCGTGCGTATGCTTCTCGCCATTTGAGCTCTTCGGCCGCGAAAGCTGATGACACCGCGCGCGCGACGCGCTCGAAAGGAAACCATCTCGTAAAGTTGCGCGCCGCGAAGGCGAGGAAGCACCCCAGATCGGCGCCCGCCGCCACCGATGCGGCAGAAGCCTTTGCGCGGGGAAAGCCCTAAGGAACCGGCGGCGCTGCGTTGCCATGCCCCTCTTGAAGTAGAGGGAAGGCTTCCGAGCGAGTGACCTGCCGGCCGGTCGCGCGGGCTAGCCGCCGTTGCGATCTGACGGGGAGCGCGTTCTGGCCGCCCGCGCCCGTGCTGCCGCGGCGTCCCGGTA